CTGGGTGCCTCGGCACCCTAGGTTGCGCGAGCGTATGCCAGGGGTGCCACGGAAGTAATCATGAAAAGTCGGCTAAACATTGTGAAATTATTAAAGAAGGCATGCAGATACTTAAGAGTTAAAATGTAAGTTGTCTTCCCTTGCCACTGTCGAAAAGTGTTGGTTTCACACACAAAATGCCAATCGCAACGTGCTAAGAATTGTCCATGTATTTATCCAAACGTGCGACCAATTCTCTACCTGCATTTGTTAAGGTGCAGTCGATAAGTAAGTTACATTGTCTCAGCAGACAGCTGCGAGCCTATTAAAGCTTGCCTGCCCCAGTTCGCGGAAAGACAACTCACGACTCCTAGGAAAACTAAGAAAATATGATTCCAGCTACCTCACTTTGGCTTTTTTTTTCGGTTTGGAACGAAAAGGTGCCAGAAAGGCCGTGCGTTAACGTTTCATCTCTTCGGGTAGGGTCATCCATGATGGAGAGAATTTCAAAAATGAAAAGGGTATAATGCAAAATTCATCCAGACAGTAAAGGTTCGTTTGACCCAAAAAAAAAAGGGGTCACGACCCACAGGTTGAGAACTACTGTTTTAGATTAATTATGGTGCATAAAAGCAGTCCGCTTAAACAAGTCATTTTTAATTAGTTTGTTATAAATACATACTTCTTTTTAAAGTCTATGCCGTGTAGCGTTGGTAGTCATGTCTATCCAAAACTTTGTCTCGCGTACTTTCAATCAGTTTTGACACAGATGATCCTCCGTGCCATGGTGTCAGACTGTCCAGCATCTTTTCTCTCGGTCTCCCTCTGCCTCTTTTCCCCTTCAACTTACCCACCGCAACAATATACTCCAGTTTTCGACGTCTCTTGGTAAAAACACACATAGGCACACATTATTCTTGAGATACGGGTTTTGAGTTGTGTTATCTTTCCAGCTCTCCAGACACGCCCATTGGTGCTCAAATTATCCCTTCAACACACACACACACACACATATATATATATGTAAATAAATATATATATATATATATATATATATATATATATATATATATATATATATATATATATATATATATATATATCAGCGTCGGGCAATTAATAGTGCCAGCCCTGTGCTGATTAACAAGACTTCTTGTGCTCCTGGTGTGCCTCTCGTGTATGTCTGTTCCGATCCTATTCCAAATTGTCCCATTCTTACCAATGATGTGGACACACTGCTTTCAAAATTCTGCTATGGTCCTGTCTCTCAAAGGGCATTAACAATGTACGTTCAATCTGTAATTAAAGCAGAACCGGCCAGTTTTTCATGTCTTTCATTGCTAACAACACCCGCATGTCCTGGGACAAAGATGAAAGTAACTCCTCGCACTGTGGAGTCTCGCAGTGACTCAGTCCACTGTCTGCTTACAAAGCCTGCTACGACCCGCTGGATCATGATCATATAATTCAGGGCTGTACTAAATCGGTTGCCAGTTCAAAATATTACCATCGCCTAGACATTTCCACTACCACCACATGGACTTAACACCCACATTTGGGAGTGTGCATCTAAAATACCGTAACCAGCAGCAGAACTGACGCACACTGCACACATCCCTGAGTCAATAGAGTTTCTGACAGGAACAGTCATTAACAATTTAGGGTAAGGGCGTGTTTACAGAAGTCATTCATGGGTATCTGGTGTGGTCTTTGTTATGAGGAGTAAAAAGTTAACGCCTTAATATATTATTAGCAGATGCTATTGCTGCTCTGCTCATGGAACCACAGCTAGAAGTTATGCCTCACTATTTCACATTTGCCTTTCATAAAATTAAAGCCCAGTGATTTACTATTATCTATATCATGTGCCCTGCCAACTGGCGTAGACGCTCATGCGTCTCCACAGATCACGATCCCTGGTTGCCTGGAACAGCTCTCTAGATGATATTCCTCAATGCCATCGTTTCAGCCCATCCAGCATCATCTCTCTTGGTCTGTCACTGCCCCTTTTCCCACTGATCTTTCCAGTTGTCACAATGTTCTCCGATGTCTCTCTTCTCATTATGTAGCCAACAGTGTTTGTCTCTTTCTTATTGTTTTTTATAGAGAGATTTACTATAAAGTTTATTAATCCTTTCGGCAGAATTATAGTATATGTTGTTTTAACTCCTTTTATCCTCAGAATGTATTACTTTAAATAATCAAGGGTGTGTCAGATGTTTTGAAATAATATCGTTATGGGACAACTTTAGTAGTTGCGTATCTTTTACAGGACATTGATGCCCCCCCCCCCCCCCAACCCCAGCATTCTTTGGCTATTTGTAGTTTCAATAGAAAGTTTTACGTTCTTTTGATTGCCGTTGCTTTACGAACGGTCTCTTTTCGATACCATTTTCGAAACAGAGGCAAGAGGTCTGCTTCCAAATCACCCGCTGTTAGGATCGAACCCGGGAACCATGGAGTTGTAAAGCGTTTTTGCAACGCCTAAGCCTCAGACGCGTCACCTAAGCCTCGACGTGACATCTAAGCCTCAAACTCAACAACTAAGCCACATATGCAAAACCTGAGCCTCAAACGCAACATCTAAGCCGCAAACGCAATACATAAGCCTCAGACACAACACCTTAGTTTCAGACGCAACACCTAAGCCACATATGCAAAATCTAAGCGCAATATCTAGGCTACAGACGCAACACATAAGCCTTAGACACAACACATAAGTCATAGTCGCAACACCTAAGCCTGCCAGGCAGCACCTAAGCCTAGGACGCCAGACCTAAGCCTCAGACACCACACCTAAACCTCAGACGCAACACCTAAGCCTCAGACGCAACATTTAAGCCTTAGACGCAACACCTAAGCATTAGACGCAACACCTAAGCCTCAGACGCAACACCTAAGCCACATATGCAACATCTAAGCCACGTATGCAAAACTTGAACCTCAGCCTAAGCCACAGACGCAACACCTAAGCCACAGACGCAACACCTAAGCCACAGACGCAACACCTAAGCCACAGACGCAACACCTAAGCCACAGACGCAACACCTAAGCCACAGACGCAACACCTAAGCCACAGACGCAACACCTAAGCCACAGACGCAACACCTAAGCCACAGACGCAACACCTAAGCCACAGACGCAACACCTAAGTCACAAGCGCAACACCCCAGCCAAAGACGCTACATCTAAGTCACAGACGTTAACACTTCCAAGTCACCCGCGACGCGCAAGACAAGTACAGATAACAAAGACACTGGGCTACAACCTAGTATCAGTAAGACTACAAAAGAAGAAGAAGAAACAGGGGTCACTGCAGTCAGGCTGGTATAAATGAATTCACTGAACACAACACTACAACTAGGAGGCAGCTCAGCGAGTGAGATCACATATATGCCTGCCTTGTTCAGATTTCATGTGATTTTCGAACCATCTGGAGTGCCCAGTATATGTAGAACGGGGCTTATCGGAATTTGTACATGTGGGATTCTCATCCTTGGGGTGCTAATCATGTTGACTGCAATCCAAGACGTGACAAACTTCAACTGCATCAAGTGGGGAGGAAATTTTTACACATTGGAATAATCAAACGTTTCGTTCGAGTTGTTTTGCTACTCGTCCATAAATATAAATACCACTATAATAGAATAGGGATGTAAGAAAAGTGGCCTAGTCTGAATCCCTATCAAGACAAGAATTTTTTTTTTATCTTTAATTTGACTTAGGTTCACGGAGAGCCAGTTCAAATTTAGTACCGGGAAATTTTGTGAGTCAAGATATTGACCACATCGCCAATGGAGTTTGGATTGCTCTCTTTCTCTCACTCACTCCCTCTCTCTCTCTCTCTCTCTCTCTCTCTCTCTCTCTCTCTCTCTCTCTCTCTCTCTCTCTCTCTCTCTCTCTCTCTCCTCTCTCTTTGTGTGTTATATATATATATATATATATATATATATATATATATATATATATATATATATATATATATACACACACACATACAGACAGGTCTTTCTTTCTACAGATGAGATGCCAGTACTCACTACAAAGTGTCTTTTAAAAAAGGCATGCACATCTGGAAATAGTCCTTTAAAACCAGTACACGCCAACGAGTAAGAAATGGATCATTACTTTGTAACTGATGTCTGTAACAGGGGCGCCGCCACAGAGAAATCATTGGTGGTGGGGGGGGGGGGGGGTCTGGTTTCAGCCTATTAAAATTTTCTTATGGTGGGGCCTTACATAAATAAAGCCTTTTTTAATATATAATAATATTTAGTTCCAGATGTGCATATTAAATATTATTATTATGTGGTATATGGCAAATAAATATACATGTATATTTATAGAATATGTGTAAAGTCATACTCCAACACTCACAGTGTGAAAGTCTATATATGGTCAGTTGATGGTGGAGGAGCTGGAGGAGGGGGGGGGGGAGATTGGTTCCAGTGCAAATTTTCTAGTAGAAGAGACTCAGCCTCCTTACAATACTTGCTTGGGAGCCTTAAATATTTTAGGGGTTCCTGAGGCCTGAGCTCCCAGGTTTTGGCGTTTATAGTCTCTGGTTCATAATTAGCAGCTTTAAGTAAAATCAGACTGCGTATCCGCTTCTTTTCTTGTGAGCTTAAGATCTGAAGAATGGCTCATTCTTTCTGCCTTTCCTCTCTTAAGCTGCCACCTGAAGGTGCACCCACTTGACTCTAATTGCAGCATACTGGACATCATTCTGATAGAACAATCGCCAGTTTCCCCTTCATATTTCAAGGGTCATTAATATACCAAGCTGGACTTAACTAGAAAGCAAATGTATACTGACTGAGGCATCATTGTATATCAGTTGTCTTCTCCTGCTGAAGTTTTCAACTGTTCCACAAAATTGTGACTGCTGTGTGAGCTAAATTAGAGTTTTCAAATTCATGATGTAGACATGGTAAGTTACTTCATTTTTATTGGTAAACAGTATATTGTTTCATTTTATTTATTGCATGCTTTGTAAACACATTGTATGTTTTCTTTTTCAGCATTCACTCCATGCAGTGGCCAGGAAAGCCTCCAGGTTTCAATTCAAATGAATGGCATTAGAGGCACTGTTAGTTTTGTAAAAACTTTGGTGACTTTGACGGTGAATGTCACACTCTCAGAAAATTTGGGAACCGGACAAGTCACAATGGAAGTGCGGCCAATCTGGGTGAATTATGATGTTGCTGATAAATGCAGTACCGCCCAGCTAGGAGTTGCCATACCTGAGTGAGCTTTGTTTGTATTGTATGGTCACATAATTCTGGCTTTTAGTGCTTTTTTTTTTTCTTCAATAGTTTGAACTCTCTAACTTTCTGACATTGGCAAGTGTGAACCTTTTTTAACTACAGCGAAAAGGTGGGGACATGCAATATGATCTACTGACCTTTCCAGAGTGATAGATTACAGGGATCTGTAGAGGGAAGGTTGAGAAAAGACAGGCCAAGAAAGACTTAGTTGTAGAATCTGGTTCAGTGGACATGCAAACATCAAGTCCATTGTATCCGACCAGTTGAGGTGGAGGGAACTGATAATACAGTCAAAAGCAAAAGGTGACCCAGTGACATGCAGTGTTATGGGACTGAAATAATGATGAGCTTTATAACCTGGGATGGCAGTACTGTAATAACTGATTTTTCTCAACTTCCTATTTACCAATTACTCATCATATATTTATTGATTAATGTATGCATTTTTTAAAAAAGGGTATGTTGTTCTGTTCTATCTATTCTAATCAGATTTTGTCACAGTACACTCGTACATTTAAAATATTTTTCTGCTCTCACAAAAAAATTAGAATTTAAAAAAAATTTAATGTAAAATGTTTCTTTACTCACAATGTTAACAGTGATAGAATCCTTGTCTCATAAGATGTTTTCCTCTTAATTGTTCAGCTGCAGTCTCCAGTGGAAAGTCCTAGTCATGCGTCCATTTGGACTTTGGTTTTGTGCCAGGGTCTGAATTTTGCATGTACATCTGTTTTACTGGCTTATTTGTTTGCAGTCAGTTGTTTCTTGCCGGTCGTGCACATGCATTCCGACTTCGAAGGAAGCCCCCAATTAGTCTACTCCTACAATGTGCTTGTTGGGGAGGCAGTGGGTCTGTTCTTCTTTTCCCCACAGTGGGGCCCTGGAGCCCACACGTGGACGATAAGACATTTAATAAGGGATACAATATTGTTAACATTATGTTATTGCTGGTTGATTCATCCATCTTTTTGCAACCTGTTAGAATAACTATTATTCTAGACTGAGATAATTAATGACAGTTAGCTTTTTTTTTTTTAATTATTATTAAAATTGTAATACAATAAAATATTTGCATCATAAGTATATTCATAACATACTTCAGAGGTTAGCTAGCACTCTTTATACAGCTGGTGGTATATTTGAAACATTTTTATGATGATCTTTTTAACTTATTTAATCCCACCATGCAGTTGTTGAGTTCTCTTACATTATATACTATTTGTAACCTCCTCCCCCCCCCCCCCTTCCCCAATCCAGTAAATACGTTAACTAAAATCTGCCTCAACTGTTGCTTTATATCTTTCACTCTTGGGGTGTTTCTATTTTATTTACGTCATATTCAAACGCTTATTAGTTAAAGAAATAAATTCTTAGGATATAATGTGATCTAGTAGCATCGAACCTAGGACTTAAAAATTAGTGTTTATTATAAATTTGCTATTTATTTATTAATTTTTTTAATGGGGGTCTCTTTGAGCCTTTTGAACGAATGATGGTTAACTTTTATCAGTCTATTTTCATTGCTTTTCACATGCCAACATCCTTCTTTGTCAATTTTAAAGTTCAATCTAAATGTGTGTATGTACGAGTGCAAATATGTGTGTACACGCAGTGATACTTCTTCATATGACTAGTACAAGTGAAAAATTTTCTGTTCCAGCTGAGGATGAAGCAGTCCAAAACTAAAATTAGGCTTTTTAGCGTTGAATAATGTTAAAGACCTGATTGTTTTGTTTTTTCAGGTTGTCGCAAAGTGTCCTCTTCGCAAACAACTCTGGTGCTTTTGTGTTTCAATACAAAGAAAGTTTAGCTTCACTGGGAGGTAAGGCACTGTTGTCTTTTGTTTACTGGCAAAGGTACCAGTAAAATGTTATAAATAATCCCCGTAATGTTACATTATGTGTTTCTGTGGTTACCAGGACTGCGAACTGGATTTTTGCCAACCCCCAAGATCTTAGAGGAGGGGGGGGGGAACAAACCCAAGCATTGGCAGCCCTGGTGGTTAGGTACCAGGGTTTGTTTACACATCGAACAAATAGACTGTTTTTCTTTAACATTCTTACGGCTTTCCGAGCATGGTTTAAAAGTCACATCCAGGAAGAGATGTTTACATATATTTCCTTTTATGCAGTAGGACCTATGGCATCCTTTTCCATGAATCCACCTCAGTAAGTGTATCAGTCATGTCCTGCTTGCACGCATCTTTCAATTGTAGGAGAGGCAGACCCTGACCTCTTTTACATATCTGTAATTCACCACAGAAGAATTATCATATTCCCTTTGACATGTGATGCTTGCTACAGAAATAAAACACAACCCTACATATTTGAGTACATAATATCGGAGCTATTCCCTCATAACTATGTACAGATTGCCAGGTCATCTAGTTTATGGTAATATACATGGTATAGTATAGGGAGTTCTAATTACGGTTCTTTTTTTTTTTTTTTACGTATCCAGAAACCATGAGTTGTAAACCCTTTGGCTCGGTACTATGGATATCGCAACCCTTCGGCATTGATTCCATTATAGGTACCGTTAATCTGGGAGAAATGTGGCTTTTCTGCCTACCCCCGGGAGTGAACCCGGACCACAAGGAGTTCGTCACCCGGCCACCGCGAAAGTCAGGTTTAACCAACTTCGCTAGAGAGCCGGGCAATTACGGTTCTAAATGATGGTTACATCCATTTTAGGAGAAGAGGGCACAGTTCCCTTATCAATAAAAATTTTTAATGGGCTAAGACTCACCCCCCCCCCCCCCCCCCTCCCCCACCAACCATCTGTAGAAGATTTCGTAAAGTATTTATTTATTCATTTTATTTTAATCTTAAATATATTATTACATTTATTGCCACTAATGGCTCTTTGAGTCACTTCTGTCAATGTTTCAGGCTGGATCCAGCAGGGAAAAGAAAAAAAAGAAAGGGGTTCTTGTTTCCCCTTTTTTTTAATCTTCCAGTGGAGCATAGGAGGTACCCATGTCATGCCCTCCCATTTTATGCCAACTCAGTGTGTGTCTTATTCACCATGCTCTCCTCATGTCAATTAGTTTGTGTACTTCAGCTATAAAGAATAATTGTTCTGCTTTGTGTTATGTTAATTAATTTCTGAAACACAAAGGGTTTGGTATATGAGGACCATCATTTAGTATTAACAGAGGCTCAATTATACAAGCCAAGACCTGGCTCAATAATTATAATAATTTAAGTAATTTTTACTATTGTTGCTTCATTGACTGTAGAGAGCAATTTAATACAGATATGGTGGTAACATAAAACAGAGGTTGACCATGCGGAAGATGCACGGGGAAATATCAGACATTGAAAAGCACTATATATGAAGAAAACTGAAGGGCCCATTCCAGAGATCTCTTCCTGTCCTGATGCTGCGAGGCATTCCAGGAGTAGAGACAAGAAGAAGAAGCAGCTGCTTCAATCAATAACCAACATTTTTGTTAACATTATCTGAATTTTAAAAACATGGTTCAGTTTATTTATCTGTTGTAAATAATTGATCATTTCAGGCTATTCAATAGTGCTGATTGGTACCAGTAAAACAGTCTGCGCCAGCATTGAGTCAGTCCAGAACCATACCACAGCTTATGCACAATTCCAGGACTCTGTACAGGGAACTGTGTATTTCCGACAAGCTATCAATAGCTCATACACACGTATTGTCAGTGATCTGTTTTCAAACAACGGACCATACACCAGCACTTGGTTCATCTCTGATTCTTATAACAATTGTTCCTTGGTGACTTCTTCATCCCAGTTAAATGTGTACAACCCAAACAAAGTTCCTCAGACTGGATGTTCAAATACTTCTCAAGACATTTGTGCTGTAGGGCACTTATCTGGTAAACTCGGAAATGCTTCCATTGGTCAAAACAAGATGGAAAGCCGACTAGGCTACACTGACAGGAACCTTTATTCTCTAGATGCCTTAAATGAAAAATTATTGATTATTTTAACCTCAAGTGGAAGTCATGTTTGCTCTGTCATCAGAGTTTTTGCACCACGGCAAGCAATGGTTGAGTTCAGCCATGATGGGGTAACAGGAGCGGTCAATTTCTTCCAGGCTAATCCATTTGATCCAACAACCACACATGTTCACCTGAGAGGTCTCAATAATATGGCCAAGGGGTACCATGTCCACATGTGGCCTGTTCCAGTTAAAATTGTAGAGGGTCAAGATCTGTGTGGTCCAAATATCGTAAGTGGTCATTTGAATCCTTACAATAAGACTGTCACTGATCCTAGTTACCCTGCACCTGATGCTAGCACAGATGATATGTATGAAGTTGGAGATCTTAGTTCTAAATATGGGACCCTGGAAAATCGTCAAGAAATTAATCTGACCTACACCGATCTCAATCTGCCATTATTTGGTCATAACAGTATTATTGGACGCTCTTTAGTAATTCATCGAAATGATGCCACTGCTAGCAGGTTGGTAGTATTTATGTATTTATCTATATATTTAAGAAATCATTATCTTGAGTATACATTTGTGTTCTTATATTTTTCATTTATGCCTCCAGTCTTGTTGTTTCTGTATCTGTTGTGTGTAAATGTTTGTTTCTATATCTGTTTATGTTTTGTCGTTTGGTGGCTAGATGGTTTAGCCTCTGTAGGAGGTTGACTAAATGGGGGCATCCTTCGAAGTCAGAGTGCATCTGCTCAAGAGGCACAAAACCGGGAGTCTGCATACAAATAAGCCAGATGTGTAAATGGATGTACACATAACATTCAGGTTCTTGAACAAGACTAAAGTCCAAAGATGGAGGAACAGCCTGAACATTCTGGTGGATTTTATAACCCTTGAAGGTGGAAGAAGAATGGAAGGAAGAAAGCTGTTTGTCTTCTCTGTGGTGGTGTGCTTGGGTAAGGAAGACCAAGGAGCAGATGGATGGACACCAGCTACACTTTAAAGTGACTCTAGCTCAAATTAGCTGTTCAGGAAGAGAACACTCTTCTTATGATATTTAACATCCTGAATTCTTATCCGCAAAGATGCACTGACCATAAGTGCTGTTTTGAATAGGACAGAACTGTTCGTTTATATTTGCTGGTCATTTCATCATTTAAAAAAAAAAAGGTCTCATTAAACCCTTAAGTAGCAGTGCTTCTTGTTACATAAGCACTGGCATTGAGCAAAATAGCTACCATTTAATTTTTAAACGTAATGTTTAATAGTGGTAATAATGGTATTCATTTATTTATATTACCAACAACAGAAACCACACAAACAAAAACAAAATCACAACTTTATCACTTTTTGTTTTAAACTGGCGCCAAACTTTTTTTTGGCCCTATTTTGCTTGGGAGCTGTCGTGGTGTAGTGGCTAGATACTTGCCGGCAGATCGAAAGGTCATGGGTTCAGGTCTAGTCAATACCAAATTTTTTTCAAAAATGGGCCACCATGTTGCTGACCACATCAGCACCAAGTGCCGGTTGGTCTATAAAATATAGGTCTAGCCCTATATGCCCAGTACACCTAATGACGTGGAAATGGTCCTTTATTTACTTTATTTCTCGTGTGGGTTTGGAGCCCTATTACAGTAAAAACAAGAATAGGCCCACTGTCTACCAGAAAGCATGTCATAAGAGTCGACTTACTGGGAGCACCCTTCGAAGTTGGAGTACATCTGCCTGAGAGGCAAGAAACCAACAGTTTGCATATAGCTAAGTCAGATCTGTAAAACTGATGCACATGCAACACTCAAGTTCTGGGATAGGATTACACTCCAGCAATGGACAAACAACCAGAACTTTCCGCCAAAGTTTACAGCTGGTGAACACAAAGAAGCAGATGACTTTCTTTATTTACTTACTATTTTGCTTCTAATTTTTATGTAGACAGTTGTGCTGTACATTGAAAAACAGAGAATAACATATCAACTCTTGTGTTTCTATAGATGGTTGTGTTCCAATATTTGGCCAGTGAAAAGTGTAATGGTTGCTGTTGCTGTGTTTAAATATCCTGTGATTGGTGAAATTATATTCACGCAAACAGAGGCTTACTCAGAGACAACAGTGTTTGCCCGACTGGACTATAATGATGGAAGGTCTGCAACAATGAGTCACAAGTGGGCAATCAAAACAAATATGGTTAGTTATAATTGTCACTGTTAATCTATGTGCAAACATGGTGCAAAATTCAATTTTGCAATAGATGCCACTTTGGTTTGTATTTAAAACTATGTGTGGCCAAAATTATCAGCTACAGCAAAGAATGTAACTTATCAAAGCAATCAGAATATCTTTTTATAAAATATTGTTTTTAAAGGTTAATTTTTTTACATTCTATTTAAATATTTTCAAATATTACATAAGTTATATTTCTTCATATCTTTTTTTTTTTAATTTAGCTTTTTGAGAAAAACTTACAAGAAATGTATAACATAAATGCTATAACACAATTAAAACCAAAAGGGATATATGATCTGTCTGTATCAAGTACATGGCAGGCCAGTCTTAGCCATGGCCTGCTAAGTAGCTGTATAATTCCTTTATTCACACTGTTACATCACCCCATGTAATAGTGTTACAAATTTCTCTAACCTAAGCTTAACTGTTTCAGTAGAAAACAATTCACTATACATTTTATTGTTCTTTTCAAAGATATTGTGTTCTTACTGTCTTCTGTCACATGCTGGTATTAAATTAACTCTTTGTGTCTGAATTATTACCTTCACTTGTGTCTCAAAAGGGAGCTGCCATGGTGTAGTTGCTAGATCTGACCTGTGGATTAGAAGGTTTTGGATTCAGGTCTGACTGAGCCATACTTTTTTCAAAAATAACTTTGTAATAGTATGTAGGTGAAAGTATTCACTAAAAATCTATTTTTAATGCTATATTTTCAGGTAGGACATGACATGCTGGTAGAAGATGAAACTCGTTGCAAATCAACAGGCATCACTTATGACCCCCGTAATTTTGGTGCTCTAATAGAAATGTCTCAGTACAGTAACTACTGCAGTAAGAACTCGCCACTAGGATGCATGCTTGGTGACCTCTCTGGCAGACTGGGATTTGTTAACATCCGCAACGCTGCTGGGACAACAGGTAACTAATAGAGAAAGCCAATTCTTGGTGTAGAGATGTCACATAGCGTTTATTTTATTCTTCTTCTTTCATTCGCTTGAAATAGATTATCTATATCTGCAATGTTGTCTCTAGTATGAACTTCGCTGTCTGTTGTAATTCAGTCAGCAACCCATAAGGTTTAGCTTGTACCGGTGTTTCTCTTGACCAAAAGTTTTGCATTGATATATTGTATTTGGGACAGTTTGGAGGACGTGATCTGTTGTCTCAGGTGCGAATCCACATGTCCACATGGCTGATTCACCAATCTTAAATTTTGTGTACATGTGGCTGCAGTGTTGATTATGTCCTGTTCTAAGGAGCAGAATAATAACTTGCTCAATTCTGTCTATTACATGGTATTTGTCTTTTGTCGGTTTTGGTTGCTTTCTGATTGATTTGATTATTTTCTTCTTCTGTTGAGAGACTGGTACGTCAGGTTGTTCTTCATTTGTGCCTTTCTTAGCTAGTTTATCAGCTCTTTCATTTCCAGGAACTCCATGGCTGGATGGTATCCATTGCATAGTTGCCTTACACCAGTTGCCTAGTTTGGAGAGAAGTTTCCGTATAGTCGATAATTTTCCAGATCTGAGTTGAGTTGAGTCAAGAATTGACATCAGAGCACTAGAGGCATTCCCATGTGTGCTCTGTCCTCATTTTAAGCAGCCAGCGCAGAGTTCCAATACTGATGGTACCAGTCACAATCTGGTTATATGTCTGTCCTGCCTTTCCTCTGAGTGTAGTAAGCCGGCCAGACCCTCTGCTTACACCCAGGTGCCTCATTCTCTCCAGGCCATAATAATCATTTTTTTCAGATTGGAGTGCCTAAAGTACTGCTCTTGCATCTGTCAGGAATACCATGGTTCGCAGTCTAGTTCTTTGTTCTGTTTTATCTTGTGCAATTCTGTCAGTACCCTAGATGGAAGCCAGTCCAGCGCTTTTAGTTTCTCTCAGCAACATTTATTTTAGTGTTATCTTGGATGTCCTTATTTCCTCAGTCCATCTGTTTCCCAGTTCAGTTTCTGTTTTGTGATTTCCTGCTTGCTTCCTTCATTGTTTTGAGTTTTTTAGTATCAATTGAAAATTTTTATCTTGCTTGGTGTTTCTTTATCTTCTCCTCCTCTTCCTCCTCTTTTTCCTTCCTCCCTTTTTATTTCCTTCTTCCTTCCTTCTTCCTTTCTTATTTTATTCTTTCTTCTTCCTTTCTTTCTTCTTCCTTTCTCCCTTCTTCCTTTCTTCTTTTTTTTCTTCTTCCTTTTATTTTTTCTATATTTTTTTTCTCATTTTTATTGTTCTTTCCCTTCCTCTTCCTCTTCTCTTCTTTTTCTTCTTTTTTCCTCTTCCTCTTCTCTTTCTTCTTTTTTTCTTCTCACCCTCTTCCTCCTCCACAAAAACTAGTCCTGCTGCTCTGCTTCTTCTTGGTCCAGTACATTGATCTACAGCAAACCTTCAATTAATCACCTGCCTTGTACAGCATCCTTGTTAAGTGCAGTAGGTCTATTCTTGGAACCCCTCAAAATGGAGCCCTGAAGCCCACATGGAGAAGCACTGTGTTATTGTTTCTACAAATGATAAAAATTGTACTATGTTGTCAGCACATGTGACTTGGGTAATGTCAACAAAATTTCACAATCCCAACATACTATGGTCCAAAGTCAGCCGCAGCTAGTCTGGCAACAGGCCACTATATATTGATTTTGACAATGTTATGAGCATGCAGAGCACCCTATATTTGCTCTTATCTGAGAAACCTATTTATCCTACCTCAAATAAAAACAGTGAACATGCCTATCCTCCATTTTGACCAGAAGTAACCGTATAATTAGAAAGTACCTTCATTGTTGCCCACAAACTGAAATTTAAAAAATGATAAGAAAACTAGAAATGCATCAAGAAGAGCATTAAAAAAATGAAAATTTTGGGGAAAGATGTCAAGAATGGCTTGCCATAGATAGGACAGCTTGTCATGAGTCGGTTGAGAACCTCTGCCTAAATGGACATAAAAGTAAGAAGGAAAAAAAGAAGAACATCCTAGGGTGAAGCAGACACTATCACAACTAGGCCACAATACCCAGTCAATATTATTTCACAAAAAAACATTTTCTTTCCCATGATGTAAACTAATTTGTGTGAACAATGCTCACAAACATGAGTGTTCTTTCTATGATGTATTTTGCAGATACTTCAGCTAAGCAGTTTTTCATCGATGTGAATCTACCCATATCTGGTCAGTTTTCAGTGGTTGGCAGATCTGTTGCTATTATGAATGACCAAGGGACAAGCATACTAGCTTGTGCAAATATCCAATATTTAAAGCAGCCAAGGCTTACAGCCATGTTTTCAATGGAAGGGATTGGATCACATATATTGTTTATGCAGGAACCTGGCTTTGGTGTATACAAAACATCAGTGCAAAATTCATTAACTGGTCTTAAGGATAACCACAGGTTAGAAAATTGTTTTTGCTGCAGTTACACATGCAAGTGTCATAGAGTGTGTGTGTTTTTTTTAGTCTTATTAAAGCTGTTACCACTACTAGATTCATTACTCATGGTAAGAAAGATGAGATATAATATTTTAAGGTATTTAGTTGAGTGTTTAGAGCATGTTGTTGTAAACAGAAAGTATTAGAACATATGAAGAAAGTAGTAGAAATATTTATACAGAAAGCAGAAGAGACTGTAGGAAAAGTATGTAGAAAGTAGTGAGCAGAAAGTGGTAGAAATATATAGAAAGTAGTAGAACACATACCAATAGAAATATACAGAAAGTAGGAAGTATTAGAACAGACACCAGTAGAAATATACAGAAAGTAGAAATTCAGAAAGTAGAAAGTTGTAGAGCAGAAATTAGTAGATTTATAAATAATCTTAAAGGCTGAGAATAGTTAACAGGATGAAAATGTCATATGAATGTATCCGTAATAAAAGAAGTAGAACTTATGTAAAATATGTATTGTTGCTTAGTTTATGTCAAGCGTATTAGATATTTTAAGGAAGAAATAAATAAAATGGCATCAGTGTGTATGATTTGCCATTCATTGATTAGCCACATTGTGAAGATGTATCTAATTCTTTGTATGCTCAGTTTAATTTTTATATTGCCAGGCTGTTTATCTACGAACTTCCACCATCAGCTAGCAATGGTCTAATTTCATGCTCTAACCTTGGAAGCATCTTTAATCCATTGAACATTACACAGAATGCTTCCATGCCAGCAACAGATGATAAATATATGGTAGGCTATTCTATACTAGTGAAAAGAATAATTGTTTTCTGCTTAAAACGTTTTAAAACTACAAATGCCTGCAGAAGTCAGATGTGTCGGCCGAAAGGCACAAATATTGCAGCCATGCTGTAAGTGAGCAGAACACAATTAGATCTTTGGATGAAAGTAGAAAAAGAAGAAACTTCAGGCTTTGAGGGCAGTTTATGTGGATTTGAGCATAATGATGCAAGTATTTTATTATTAGAGATGTGGTTTTAACAAAGACTGCTGACATCCAAAATGGGTAATTTGTTTGTTTTTACAGAGGCTAAGACTCAAAGGCAACAACTAATCACAAACATCTGAAAGAGGCAGGCATTGTTATTTGGTCCCAATGTTAGAGAGAAACTTGAAATATCTTGTGACAATTGGACAGATTTATGGATTGAAAGAGGAAGTTGAGAGACAATTCTTGAGTCTTTTTTGAACTGGTAACCGTTTGCAATGGAGGCATCCCAGTGACCAGTGGTATATCTGGGTTGAGAGCAATTTTGTAATATCATTTAGAAATGCTTCCACACTATACTGAATGTCCAAATGTAGAGAAAAACCATGTGAATAAAAATTGCACTTAAAATTCGACCTTGCACAATATATGGCTTGTGAGCTGTTATTCAAACCTCTTGGAGTGGAATAAATATGGATCCACAGAGTTTATGGAAGCCACAAATGCATAGAATGCAGGACATAGCACAGTTCCAGTTAAAAAAAACAGTTAAATGCTTTTGACAGTGCCCAAGGTTGTACAGTGCACGAACTGCGTAGTACTGGCGAGAATCCTGAAATATTTTAGGTACATTTTTTACTCCAAATTTGGCCCAGGCTGAAAAAATGTAAAAAATATTTGGTTTCATTCTTTGAAATAAACCAATGATAACAAAGAAATAAAATATGGTATATGTCATTTTCAAAAATCAATTTCTTCCACTAAACAGATTGGGGATTTGTCCAGTAAGGGAATTAATGCATCGTGGAGCAGCTACAACCTGCCACTGACAGGACTGACTGGTATCAATGGAAGATCTCTTGTTGTTGTCGACCAAAGCAGTCAGAATAAAGTGCTAGCCTGTGCAAAAATTGTTGCCGCTGTTGGGGCACCATCACCTCCATCTCAAATTATTGAAGCTGTATCAACTTTTACCGGTAGTGTTAATGGGACAGTGCATTTGGTAGGTTTACAGTCCCTGCTGTGAAAATGTTTGAAGATTAAAGCAACCATTGTTTTACTGTTGATAATATATTGTGTCTTAATTATTTTTTAAAAATTTGTTTTTGTCATTAACTCTTTGAGACCCAGAGGGTTTAGCATCACAGGCTCAAGGGGTAGTCAAGAGAGACGTAAAATCGCCGCATTATGCGTTCATTGTGCTTCCAGGCAGTAACCTATGAACGTATGATGCGTTCCTTGGGACTCAAAGAGTTAAGCTAGCTGTGTTTAGATAGCTTTAACCTTTGGATTTAACAGTTATTGTCCTCATTATCATGGATCATTCAGACTTGTTTCTTTTACTGTAATTCAATGTATATAATATAGTCCAAAATCAGCACTTCTAAAACAGTATGCATATTAAAGTTAATGTGATGCACTGGGTATGTTAACACATACAGGAGCTTCTCCAATGATCATTCCTACTATTGATATGTGAAATTTGAAATCCCTAAAGCTCATCTTTTTTTCATAATCAGTTCATAAACATACAGCAGGCTGTTATTTATTTGTCTTTTTTTTTTTTTTTTATGCCTTTTCCCCCAGCGGAGTATTGGCTCTCAGTCAACTCACTTCAACATTTTCTTGATTGGGTAAATTTTCCAGCTATGTTTCTAAATGGATGAGGTATTCTGTATATACCAACCCTTTTTAGTTACCTCGTATGACAGACAGGGCTGGTTACAATGTAATTATTTCTGCTTTCCTTCTGGGCAGTGGTAACACACAAGTGATTACTCTCTATATCTTCCCCTTTAAAAAAAAATATAAAGCATCTTATTAGCTTATTCAGGAATGTTCTTGAATGATCATTTAACTTCACCGAGATCAAGATTTCTAGATGTCTGATCCATTGTGCCATAGATATTAACTTCCTTTCCTAAGAATGCATTGACATTCTAATAAAACAGGCTTCCTAAATTATGAAAAAAAAAGTTTGGCAATATAAAGAATTTGGAAGTATATTTGGCACTGCCTAAGGAGAAGTGGACAGAGAATCAATTCTATCTTATCATAAAAGATATATTTTTTTTACCTGGTATTCTCATATTAAGCTTACAACATACAAGACATTTGCTTGCAATTTCATTTGAACTATTTTATACTTAATGTTTTTATTATTAGTTTCAGACAATATATAATGATGGAACTATGAGTGATACCTCCATTTTGGTAGAACTGAATAACCAAAATGGCCAAAAGGTATGAAATCTTAGTTTTTATTTTAGTAATTTTTCAGCATTTTGATTTATTAACTAATTTGCTACTGATGTGTTAATTAAAAAAAGATATTCCTTTGGATTACATAATTTAGAACATTTATAGATTCATTATCCTACTGTGTGCCAGCAATCATGTTCCTCAACAATTATTTGTTTTTCTATTTTATGGAATACCATTACTTCGTTTATAATTAAATCCACTGGATTCTAGAAACACATGCAATTGCTTGGGGTGTTCTTTAACTTGAGTTTGCAAGCTAGGTGTTATTTGCTATATTTGCCAATCACAGCTCTCTGTGATACAATTATTTCATTTAAAAAAAAATTATTTCTCTAGTTATAATTAAAGTTGAAATTTGTGAAGGTTCAAACAGATTTAATGTTATCAGATTTATCTAACAGATTTTTCTCCATAATTTTTCAAAATATTGGATACATTTTATGGATATATCTAACTTGAAATATTTTTTTTATCCAATAGTTTAACATAAGAGCTGGATACAGCTGTTTCTTATGTATAGAAGTGAATCATGGACAGTGAGCCAGTTGTTTAAAAAACAATTGTTGAAGCTGAGGAATATGGTTTCATAGAAGAACTATAAGAACTCTGAGCTGATAAAAAGAGTTGTTGGGGGGAAATGTAAGAATCGTTTGTGTGCTTTTTGCCAATGCATCGTACAAGTTGGTAGGAGAAATGATTACCCACATCAAAAGACAATTTTAAACAAGTCATGAGAAGGAAAAAATGAAGTATTTCATGACAGCTAGAAAAAGCAACCTGTGAAGAAATGCAAAGGGAAAAGAGGAAGACAGACAAAGGGAGACCAAGAAAAAATATTCTCACACAAAAAAAAGCATGTCATGAAAAGGAAAATATGAAGTATTTCATGACCGCAAGAAAAGCAACAGGTGTAGAAATGCAAAGGGAAAAAAGGAAGACTTGTAATTCGTTACGTCCTTCTTAGGACCTAATATTTTGTTATTCGAAGCCCCACTCTGGCTTTTGCCAGTGGCCGCAATATAGGTAGGCCATCAATATGGCCAATTGTCTGAACGCGGTTTTTGGGACCTCTCCACCGTGATCCTCATCCACATGGTGGCACTTTGTGTCATCGGGTGTTTATCGCTTGTGTGATGTCCTGGTGGGGTAGAAAGTCAGTCAGTCAGACAAAGGGAGACCAAAACAGAAAATATTCTCAGACACACAAAAAGCATGTCATGAGAAGGGAAAAATTGGATTATGTCGTGACAGTTGGAAATTTGGCTGGGAAGAGTGGCAGAGAGAAACCAAGAGATAAGTTTTTTGTTGAACAGTTTGGCATCATGGAGTGAAAGAACATTTGATTAAAAATTGACAGGGTCTGTCTGAGAAACATCTGTATAAGAAATGACTGTCATGATCTAAGACAGAACGCTGTGGTTAAAATGAGAATGCAGCAGGAACTATAAGAGAAAGTCTTACAGGAAGGCTAACCCTGGCAGCTAACACCTGCAGACGTCAGATGTGACAATTGAAAGCAAAATCTGAAATATTTCAGCCATGCTGTAAACAGGCACAATGTAATTACATCCTCAGATGCATGCAGAATAAGAAGGAGATAAGAAGAAGAATTTAACATTTAGTACTAATTAGTTGCCTATAATATGTATAACATGAGAATAGGTTTTTCAGTGTGTGACAAAATATTCAATGATTTCAGAGCCTGCATCATAACTGGCATACACATCGAAATCCCATTGGAAGGGACGCTAATGTTGAACAGTCCAGGTGTATGAGTGCTGGGCCCCACTTTGATCCTTACGTGACTATGAAAAATCAGGTACAACCATATTTTCTCAACTTTCTGTTTTGTGATTTCTTTGGCAGATAAGTAGGTTCTTCCTGGTCTCCTCTCACATACACAGTCACATACAAGCATCTATTATGTCTCTTTTTTCATTATTTCTCTTCTTCTCTGTCACTCTCTCTGTTGCTATTTACCTGTCTCTCTCACTGTCTCTCTTTAACACACTCTCTCTCTTACTGTTGTCTCTTCTTTTTTTCACAGTCTTTTCTCTCAGTCTTATTTTTGTCTTATCTTTTTTCACTGTCTGTCAATCTCTCTCTCTGTCTGTCTCTTTCATTCTCTTCTCTCTCCTCATCCCCCACCCTGTTTCTTGAGCTTATTCGTGCTAATAGATCCCTTTTCATACCTTAGGCACATCGGGCTTTTGGAAAGATCACCCATATTTTTTACAGACCAATCGGCACTAGGTGGGTAATGTGGTCAGCGTTACATCGGCTGTCTTTACTTCCCCAGGACATATATCCTGGTACCCATTTTAGGCTGGGTCAACCTGCGACGCCACACACCATGATAAAAATCCATGCGGCCGCAATAGGTTTCGATCACAGTATGTTGGAATTACGAGTCGAACTCACAACGCCTAAGCCATAGATGCCGCTATTCATGCCGCAATAGCACATTGCCAGACTGGAATCTAGAAGTCTGAATCCCAACTGAGGCAGATTTATAAAACAACTGGTCAGAACGGCCTTATATGGGTGCCAGGAAGTAAACTGGTCAGCATGGTATAACATCACCCATCAGGTGTCATTTGATCTATAAAAACATGAGTCTATCACCATAAACCAAATATATTGTACGGCATAGAAATGAGTCCTTCATTTTACTCAGTAGAGGGATTGGAGAAAATAATAGCAGAAGGCATGGTACCAGAAAGGAGAGGTTGGGGCCGACCAACACGAAGATGGGCACAGGATATAAGTGACTCCTTGAATATGAAAGTACATGAGGTGGGAGAGCTGGCGAGAGACCGAGTTTATTTCAGACAGACCGTGATGAGAGCTACGTTCAGCAAAGGACCTACTACATGATGATGATGATGAGTTTGTAGAATAAAAATGCAGTCTCTGTATGTCTGTGGTTACCGATGTTGAAGAGAAATCCACATGTCAAATAATTTTCTGATTGTATCTGTATCTAGAGCAACTATGTCATTGAATGTAAACCTACAAATCCTCTGCGATGTGAGCTGGGAGACCAGTCTTCAAAACTTTCCACTTATGATATTGGTGGTGGAGCTAAACTGTACAATGATGTTGATTTGCCTCTGTATGGCAACGATTCTGGTGAGTATTACTGCTGGTTTCTGTAAATTTGTGGAGTATTATTTGTGGTCGTCACTGACTACAGTCTTAGTATCTGTATACAGGAATCAGTGTAAACAAATACAAAGGTATCATTTCCAAGCCTTAACTCTTTGAGTCTCAGGAGGTTTAGCATCAGAGGCCCAGAGGGTAGTCAAGAGAGACGTAAAATCGGTGCATCTTGCGTTCACTGGGCTTCTAGGTATTAACCTATGAATGTACGATGCGTTCCTTGGGACTCAAAGAGTTAAGATGTATCAGGTGTATTGTTAACAAAAATTGCATTGCCTGATTTATGTTAAATGCAAAACTAAAAAAAATGGACAACTACAGCAACAATTAAATGTTTGACCAACTGCTAACTATGGAAAAAATACATGGCAATATCACAGTCTCTTCCACTGTGCAGCTCTTGTACCACTGTCTGAAAGCCACAAGAATGGTATTTTCGAACCCTGGTAAACATTGTAGTTTGCACTGTGGGATGATTTCACCAACCTCTAAGCTGCAGAGATGCACCGGCATATGTACTGGCCCCATATCTTTGTAGATCAATTGGGTGATGCAGTCAGTATCATGCTGTTTGCCTTTACTTTTCTTTTTGAGACTTTTCTTTTATTCACTTTATGCTGGACTGGAATGATTTCACAAACTTTTAAGCCACAGAGATGCACAGGCATGTACAGTATCATACTTCGCTGCCTTTACTTCTAAAGACTTCTTTTATTCACTTTATGCTGGATTAATATGAAGATGTGGTAATCTGTTTTGTTTTTTTTAATCCAAATTGATGAGGATTTTAACACCAGACTGGCAAGCAAGAATATTAGCGACTCTGCTACTGCAGAGATTGTAAGGCAAGGGCGGGAATATGCAGCCTGCAGGTTGTAAGGCAAGGGCAGGAATATGCAGCCTGCAGGTTGTAAGGCAAGGGTGGGAATATGCAGCCTGCAGGCTGTAAGGCAAGAGTGGGAATATGCAGCCTGCAGGCTGTAAGGCAAGGGTGGGAATATGCAGCCTGCAGGCTGTAAGGCAAGGGTGGGAATATGCAGCCTGCAGGCTGTAAGGCAAGGGTGGGAATATGCAGCCTGCAGGCTGTAAGGCAAGGGTGGGAATATGCAGCCTGCAGGCTGTAAGGCAAGGGTGGGAATATGCAGCCTGCAGGCTGTAAGGCAAGGGTGGGAATATGCAGCCTGCAGGCTGTAAGGCAAGGGTGGGAATATGCAGCCTGCAGGCTGTAAGGCAGGGTGGGAATATGCAGCCTGCAGGCTGTAAGGCAAGGGCGGGAATATGCAGCCTGCAGGCTGTAAGGCAAGGGTGGGAATATGCAGCCTGCAGGCTGTAAGGCAAGGGTGGGAATATGCAGCCTGCAGGCTGTAAGGCAAGGGTGGGAATATGCAGCCTGCAGGCTGTAAGGCAAGGGTGGGAATATGCAGCCTGCAGGCTGTAAGGCAAGGGCGGGAATATGCAGCATGCAGGTTGTAAGGCAAGGGCGGGAATATGCAGCCTGCAGGCTGTGTAAAGTTTATATAATCATTTGGTGTGGCCTGACCAAAGCAACCACAATTAAATGTTTGACCAATTATAGCTACCTAATATTTTTGTAGATAATTTTGTATTGCCATGAATGGTATATTTTGTATTGCCATGAATGGTATATTTTGTATTGCCATGAATGGTATATTTTGTATTGCCATGAATGGTGTTTTAAATATCCAGTTGATTACTACATTCCATAGTCTTGTGTGATCTTTTTAGTATCATGTCTAGAATCCAAGCAGCACTTTCAACATCTCTGAGCATTTGGTTATTGTTTTTGTTTCTTCTTATTGTGTGGAAATTTAAAAAGTGTGTGAATGTGGGGTGGAGGGTCCTCACTTCCTCAGTTTATTTATTTCATTTCATTGCTTGTGTTGTAATTGTATTCTTTGCTTCACATAAGGTTGGGTTTTATACATTGTAATCTCTTTGTCTTATACCTATGATACCAGCAGCTATCAAGTCATTTCTCTTTTGTATCTTCACCTTTTTTTTAATCGTCCCATTTAATGCTTATTAGTTTCTTTGGGCATTCATTTTTAAATGCCATAAACTTTCTTTCCATATGTTAGAACTGAAATATTTGAAATGGAAATATGTAATTTGGTTTTAAAACCGTACAATAGTTACAGTCTATATTTTGTTGAGGTTTTTAAAAACAGCTGACATCTTGCCAATGCGTGTTATAATTTCCTTCCCTTTTTCTTGGCAGTTAAATGGTTTGTTACTTTTATTCTCAGTACAATTTCTTTTTGATCTTTTAATAATGGCTTCAATATATTTCTTAACTGATTTGTTGTTCAGCTTTTGATGCTGTATTTACTTAACTCATCTAAACAGCACATAATGAAATGAAATTAACCGTACAAGATCTTAAATCTTTTCTAAAAAAGAAAATAATGTACATTTCAGTCCTAGGAAGATCAATGGTTTTTCATGTACAAGAAAAAGGAACTGGCAGATTGGCTTGTGCAGACATTATTCCTGTGACTGATGTTTTTGTCACCGTCAATGTTAAAAATGGAAACATATCAGACAGGTAGAGTTCACCTTATTTTCAACTGTAATTACATTCTCTAATTTGTCTTTTTCTTTTTTGTTGTATCGCAAGGCAGTTATTCATGTTTTTATAAACTATTTCTTTTATTACTTTGTTTGTACTTGATTGCGAGCCACCATAACAAAGTGACTAGATTGCTCACTTGCCGGCCTGAAGGTCTTGGGTTCAAATTTTTTATGACATACTTCTCTGTGGAAAGGGGGTGGGGGGGGGGGGGGGGGGGGGCAGTGGATCAATTCTCTTTCCCCTATAATGGGGTCCCTGAACTTACACGTGGAAGACAAGTATTCCTGTTACTGCACTTCAGTGGCTGTAACTGAATACTTGTAATGCCTTCCTAAATGTATATCATTATTTTCAGCCTTTCTATTTTTTGTGTATTCACATACCATACAGGCATGTGTATGTCATGTTGAAAGACAAGATTACTGCTTTCTTCTTCTTCGTGTTCACTAGGTGTAAACTCCAGCAGAAAGTTCTGGTTTTTTGTCCACTTCTAGACTTTAGTTTTGTGTCGGAACTTTAGAAGTGCCTATCTTTTTACAGATCTGGCATATCTGAATGCAGACTTTTAGATCATAGCCCTTCAGGCAGATGCACTTCGCTCTTGAAGGAAAAACTCATAATTAGTTGACTTCTCAACATGCTTGTTAGGGGAGCAGTGAGTCTATTCTTCTTAACCCCATAATGGGGTTCCAGAACCCACACAGGGAGCACGCGTCAATATAAAGAACAGATATCTTTCAAGTCCATACTGTATGGTTTTTGTCATCATATTTTTCCAGTTTTCTGAATTATATGTTGCCGATCATGTCTGCTCATGTTTCTTCATGCCAAGATGTCAGTAAGAGGAAGAGACTTGAGCATTCTTTCAAAGTTGGAGAAAACTTAAAAAATGGGAATTTATTCAAATGACTGAGAATCTAATTATGTGGTCATGTTCTACTGTGGTGAGTGTAAAAATACAGAACCACAAAAGAGATTTGTTTGTCAATGACAGATGAGTAGCTATAAATATACATGGATTTAAAGAAGGCATTAGTCATTGTAAAGATGTATTAAAATAAACCAATATGACTTTAACAATTCTCTTTGATCAGACTCGATGTTGCAATGGTATATGCAAGGGCTGTTGGAGCTAATGCTACAAATGTTGTTGTACAGCTGGTTTCTGAAACAACAGACTCAACAAAATTGAATGTTTATTTTGTTGGTAAGTTTTAGTGTGTCTTTCTTTTCATCAGTTTTACTTGTTACATTTTGAGTTCATTCTTTACATAAATTCAGCAGCAATAACCCCACTGACCTCCTTCCATTATTAGAAGTGAAGTTGCTCAGAGGTTTTGAAATATGTATCTGTTGCATGCACATCTGCTTAAATTCATTGTGTGTTTATACTATTATTACTATACTATTATTACTACACTATTATATATACTATATAATTATTAATATACTCTTAGCCTGTATACTATTTTATATTATGTGTATTTTTTTAACGAATGGTATGCATCACCCTGCTCCTGGGAAAAGTGGAGTACATGTCTAACTTTTTCAGACAAGGATGGACAGTTCTACGTACCGCGATCGAAACCTGCGTGGGCTGCGTGGATTTTTATCATGGTATGGGACGTCACAGGTCGACCCAGCCTCAAATGGGTACCAGGATAGGCTGTCCTGGGAAAGTAAAGACGGCCGGCGTAATGCTGACCACATTACCCACCGAGTGCCGATTGGTCTGTAAAAATATGGGTGCTCTTTCCATATGCCCGATGCGCCTAAGGGCCTGTAAAGGGATCTTTACTTTTTACTTTTTTTTATGGACAGTTCTGAGCTTGGGTGTATTTTGCATTCCTTTAACCATTGGAAAGTGAAAAGAACAGTCCAAAAGTGCCACTGTCAGGGCTAAATAATTTTTTAAAAATTAGAATACTTTACTACAGATATTTTTCTGCTGTGTCCTTGAAATGGTGGTTAGCACATTGTTTTATGGATTAAAGCTAGTCTGAAATATTTATGCATTTTGGCCCAGTACATCCAGTTTCAGCCAACCCCTAATTAGTCGCTTTTTACAACATGGTTACTGGGGAGAGGGGGGTGGGGGCAGTGAGTCTATTCTCCATGCCCCCACCCCATAGGGTTCTGAAACAACCCCAGGGGATTACCCATAAATAACTATTTCTAGTTTTCTGTGTGTGATTCTTGTACACACTTAGGAATCCTCACTGGCCTGTGAAATTTTGGCAGTGTGCAAAGATTGGCCTTGTGTGATCAATGGAAGGTGATTGGTGCCCTTCCCAAGGTATCTGGACAAGTCAAAATTAAAAACCCTAAAACTGACTTCAAAAGCTACCATATTTTAAATTCTTTATAATCTATCAGTACTTTACCTTGTGTGTATGATTCAATACATATAGTTATACTTTAGTGATTGATTGTGTAATTCTACATCATTTCCCTGATCTAAGACATTTTCACACATTAAGAGCATAAGGCATAAATGTGGTACAAGCTACCCTAATTTTAGAGGCCAGTCAGCACACCACCATCTTTACTTCCCAGGACATTTTCATTGGTACTTATTTTAGACTGGAATGACATGAGAAGCCCATTCATTTTAAAAATGCCCCTTGATGCAGATTTGAACACAAGACAACTGGACTGACAGTCACTGCAGTACCACAGCTCTTGGCATATGTCTTTTATTTATAATTCTTGTCACTTAGCAAATAGGGTTAATAATTGTCTTGTTGATATTATTACTAGCATGCCTTTACACTGGAATCCATAGGCGACCGTGTTCCACCCTTTATTTATTTTTTTAATAATAATTTTTTTTTTAAATAAAATACTTTTAGATGCAATATCTGACAATGAACTGCAATTTCTGATGCCATTAGTGTTGGCACATCTGACAGATTATGCATTTTTACTTTGCATGTGCAAGCTTCCAGATTTTGTTGGGACTGACATGTTTTTCACTAGTTTTCAACTGGGACAGTGAAAGACATTTGTGTGGTTTCCACTGGAACAGATCAGCAACAAGATGACTTATTTGCAGTGATGTTAGAATCTTGACTGATCACCTAACTAACATATTATACTGTTATTTAACTCCAGGATTTCAAGCAGCAAGTCTGAAAAGTCAGTTTGAAAACATAATTCACGGGAATAAGAACAGCTTAAGTCCTTACATTCCTTCCACAACCGGAGCAGCAAGTAAGCAGATTTATCCTAGCATTATCTGAATAGATGATTGAGAGGTGGGGGACAAGGGTGGGGAGAGAGAAGGAGAGAGAGAGAGAGAGAGAGAGAGAGAGAGAGAGAGAGAGAGAGAGAGAGAGAGAGAGAGAGAGAGAGAGAGAGATTGTAAAGTCCCTATATTTGTTTTTACACAACTGTTAAGTGGATTTATCATAGATTTGCTTGAATAGTGGTGAGAGAGAGAGAGAGAGAGAGAGAGAGAGAGAGAGAGAGAGAGAGAGAGAGAGAGAGATTGTAAAGAAAACACAGGACTCATTCCCAAACCATGAGGTGAACTGGATCTGTGATGCTAAACTGTTTGTCTTTTAAAATATAGATGAAGCTATGTATACCTAATGAGTGGTGTGGTTAACAACATGCCAATCACATTTACTTCCTATAAAATGTTCCTCTACCTATTTTATGATGAGTTAACATTCAAAGAGCAGGACTGTTACAAAAGACACAAGAAAAATAGCCACTTCACTTTTTAAATTAATTTCTTGAGAGACATCTTCTTTATGCTTTTAACATTCCATGGTGTTACCCCGAATTTTTCGAAGCCTGTGTATAATTTTTCACGAATCAGATGACTGTCCGTGGTTCACTTCACACTTTAAGATTGGCTCAGAGTAGCTCTTAACAACTGTCTTTTACATCTCAATTTGCAAATACAAACTGTTCAGTCAGAGAGAAATTGAATCTATAACCAAACAGCCCAAAATAGTCTATATTAGTATATTACCTTGGTACTTATACAATTTCCAGATAAATCTGATTTTGGCTAGCCAGCCTGATGGTACTGGGTTCAAATCTTCTTCAAGACAGGAATATTTTTTTTTTTTTACATGATGAAATGACTCTGAAGTTTTTTAAAAATGGGTACACAATTTCTTAGATGTTAAAGGTGAATAAAGCCATACTGGCCACATCATCCATCACAGACTGGCTGGTTACAAAATATCAACCTAGCACACACATCTGTAGTGTACTAGATGACTTGGAAATGGGATCTTTAACTGACCTTTAATTTTTTTTTTTTCAGATCTAACTGAAATGTTTTCATTTTTTTTCTATCTCAGATTACAACCAGGTATCACTTTTGCTGCTGCTGACAGTTCTTGCAGTGCATTTGAGGAAGTGTCTTTGAATGATCAGCTGAATATGGACATGTTGTTTTATCCAGACCATGTGATTTCAGTTAGTGAATGGAGGAAGTGAATACCAGTACCTAAGAGGGGACACATAGATGAAGCGAACATTGTAAATACGCTAGTTCATGCCGTAGGTGTCAAATAATCTAGAAGCATTTGAAGTTAATTAGAAGACCGACAACTCCAAAGGCAATCATCATTTACCTAAAAGGCAACAATACAGGGTGTCCCTTCCCCCTACTCCCCCCCCCCCTACCAAAAAAAAGTGTAAGCGTTATAGCTTACAAGTGACAAAATATTTATCAGTGTCCAGACTAAAACATCAGCCAGTTTAAACATTGAGGCAATAGATTATAACAATTATATTTGTTCATCTTTCAATTAAATTATAAATGCTGCAATATAAACAGATGCTTGCCTGATGGCCATATATTTTAATCTGCTGCGGCAGAGTTTGTTTTTTTTCTAAATAATTGTCCATGATTTCTAGGTCGGCCCAGCCTAAAACGGGTGCCAGGAAATGCCTTGGGAATTAAAGGCAGCTGAGCTGACATGTTGATATCATCCATTGTGTGTAGATTG